TTCAACTTTAGTCACTTCATTAATGTCACTTATCACTTCACTATCTTTATCACTGATGTCAACATCATAAACGTCAATTAAAACTTTCGTATCATGAGAAGGTTTTGTTACTCAATGTAGTTGTTACAAATGAAAAAAAAATGGACATAATTTACGCGAATTTGAAATGTTTCGAAATATAAACATTAAATGTGCGGGCAAAATACATATCCAAATTCAATTAATGTCTAACAGTGGACGTAGTTAATTAACAGCACTGTAAATGACGTCACATCACTCACTTTTAGTGTTATCTTAATAATCACACACTCACTTTCTCACGCACTTTCCAGTTAAGAAACTTATGGGTGCGTTACACTCTCTTGCACTTGACACTAAACCAATGCAGTTGTGCAACAATGCAATAAAGTTGCAAAATGATAACAGTAAAAAGTTTTTTTTAAGTTGAAACTCAGTTGATGCAACGCTTAAAGAAACTTGTAAATATTTGTTATTATAATAGTATATCTAAAAAGATATATGTAATGATAATGATTTAAAACAAAAGGTTGTATCACACGGATAAAATACTTTGTTAGTGATAAAGAAAGATTTGAAAAACAAAGAAAAAAATTAAAGATACTCTTTCCAATGAAAACGGGAAGAGAAAATTAATATCCCAAGGATATTCCCTACTTCTTGATTAGATGGAAATGTTTAAAAATGGAACGTGGTTAACGTACCAATCTGAGTAGCGCGGCCATTGTGGTTGTGGGAGGTGCGGCGCGGGCGCACGCTGCTTTTATAGCATTATGGGGGCTGCGGTACCTGTTACCTTTCACTGGTTGAGTTTTGGAGGGTGTACGCGCGGTTAGTAAGATTTTAGGGGATGTTTCCTTTAGCTTTAGTGGGGTAAGGATATTGACAGATAAATGACATAATAAGGAATTATCGCTTGCGTAGTTGCATTATTTCATTCATTGGAGAGAAGATTTATGCTATAGTCCGCCATGCTGATCCAATGTAGGTTGGAGTCTTCATATTTTTGTAATAAAGTCAAAGTCGAAGAATCTTTATTTCATTGGTAAAAAAAATTATACTCTAAATCGTCATATTGAATGGTGGGTGGAGCGCCTGGAGATCAGTCACACAGGTAAAACCCTAGTATAGACTCCAGTCTGTAATAAAGGCATATTAACGATAAATCTATAGAATATCATTTTTATTTATAAGATAACTTTGAAAAGAGAGAAACGAAGATTATTACTTATTATTGATCGAATTCTACTGCTCATTCGTAAAGCAAATTCCCCTGAGAAGAATGAGCAGAAAACTGCAGGAGGCTTCTCTTTGTAAGTAAACATTTTTCGTTTACAAAATTTATTTCAAATGTCACAGATCTGACAACCTACAAGAACTAAACGAGTCATGTTTGTCATCCAAGCACGCACAAGCTATGTAATAAATAACATTTAGTATAAAGTTTTTCTTTCACTATAGTTTTAAACTAAATTTTGAATATCAACCAGAATCTTATTATAGAAGCGTATAGAAATGAATTTGTGACTGTTCATTTATTTATTAATTAAAGGTTGGGTTTTTTAAACCCGTAATAAATAAATAAATAAACAGCATACAATTCAAACTTAAAAATCTATTTTACATGACTATATAATGCCAATTACAGGATATCACTGAAGCTTAGAAATACCATGACGTGACAAAGTATGCTTATGACTTAATAATTACGTTCAACATAAATGAGTGTATTATAAATTAGTACCTACATTTAAATATATTTTATAATTTATATATTTGTAATTGAAATGATCGCGATAGGGAGAAAAAAACTCGGATATAACTGTGGATTTCGGGTGCACAAATTATTCAACTAATTTTTGAAGACGACTGTGAAGAACAGTCGGTTTATTTTTATTCTTCGAATTAATATCATGTCTGGCACTGTGTTCATACAAAAAAATATTATTTTTAACATAAATTATATTGTCATAAATGTACTATAGTGTAAGAATGTTAATCACTTTAAAGTTGTCTCTCCGGGGCGCAGATTGAAAATTTTGGTAAGTGCATGTTTCTGCAGGACGTAGATTCTACGGCATTACCGCTAAGCGAACTGCCGTATCTCATTAAACTATGAAAGTAGCTGAACTAAACCATTATGTTGCGGTTTCGACGTTTCAAATTTTTCGTATTTTTTACCTGCAGAGTTGAACCGTTTCGGTAACTTACTTATTTGTGAGCCCCTTTGCAATTTAGCATCTAAAGTTATACCTAAAAATCAAACTGTATGTACAAGGTATTTTCCGTTTATATTTCGTAAATAGGTGAACCTTCTCTGACATGCAGGTTTCACTGTTAGCGGGAGGTTTTTTAAATTTATTTCTACCGACGGCTGTGGTAATTTACAAACATGGTATATAAGGCTAAGAGTAAAGCTAAGGACAGGTTTCCCTCGTTTGTATATCATACGAGTAAAATATTACACAAAACGTTATCGGTAAGTAGATACATTTAACATTAGTAAGGAATGAACAAGATGACACTAGTTTTACATGTTGAAATTACAGACACAAATTCTCGCATGTTTTTTAAAGGTAAAATAATAATCCCGGTAATGAGATGTATATTTGTTATTAGAAACTATTGTTTTTAGAAACAAACTACTAAAAGAGTGACCTCAATGCACTCAGTATTTAAAATAATAATAATGTTGTTTAGATTTCAATAAAATACAATATAAATTACATGAATAAAATTGAGTCCCCGCGTCAAGGTGCCCAAGATGTTGGCAGCGGTCCCCCTTTGTGTGGCTATGCTAATGCGTTGAGCAAGATAGCTGCCGGCCGTTGGATTTCCCGGACAGTCGTATTTAAGCCTTTGTTGTACCTTACCTATATATTATGAAAATAAAATAATAATAGGATGTTATGTACCATTACAGAGGTGAATAGGTCGGTTGAGAAAAAAATTAAATATTGAGGTACGCACGTAACTTATAAGGAATTAATGTCAAAGATATTATTATATTTCTTGCGGTATGCAACGGAGATTGGAACCATCGACCTGTCAATTGAAAAGCTACCGTCGTCACCGAGCTATCACAGCTCTCGTGCAGTTCAACATCAAAAAAAGGTGTATTTGATTGCGCTATTAAACGTTAATCGATGTAAGAAAATGTGGTAAACGAACAATGTCATGAATGAATAAGCGCCTTTAAAAGAAAACATTGTGTGTTCAAAATACAAATCAATAATCAATAGTATCACGTCTAGATAGTGTAGATTACCTAATCCAGGCCGATTTCCTAGCCTGCCTGTAGTTTAACGCGAGTTGATGCAAATGCACTTAAAGTTGCGTATGCGCAACACTGACCGAAATTACAAGTATTTGGTATTTTTGTCACGATCACAGGTTAAATATGTTGACATGTTCCAAACTTTACACAATAACGAGGTGTTAAGGCGGACATTAAACACTCGATGCAGTGGTTACTGTATGGCAATCGGAAAAACTGATTACGTAAAACAGACAGATGAGTTGGAAGAATTAGCGGTTTTCATATAACGCAGTTATGTCATGGCCATCATCATCTACACCATCAACGAATTATGCGTCCCACTGCTCCGGCAACGGTCTCTATGAGGAGAGTGTGCCAGCTGTACAAACCATTTTGTATAGCGAGTATTAACGATTCGTTCTGTGTACCGTTTAGGTTGTCGGGTTTCTCTTAGAGAAAAGTTTAAGGAGACTTGTATCATGACATAAAGCACCCGTTCCTACGGTTATCTATCAGTAGTCCGAAATTACAGTTTCCAGAAATAACGTTAGCTCGAATTTTCATAACGTCGAAAGTAATTTTGAGAGGAAAATGTTTTTTTCTTTTAAACCTAACTTAACCTAACCGACCCTAATTGTGTCTTTGCGATAAACATCCAACATATCCTGAAAGAACAACGGTTTCGTTTTAATTTGCGGTGTAATGAAAATTCGAACAAAGGTTATTTCGGACAAAAAAAAATTCGAGTTTGTGATAAGTTACCCGTTCGTACACCTAGATGTAAAGTCCTTTTCTCACGCCCATTTTGTCGTACCAATGTCGGCACACTCTGTCCAGTTTATAGGATGTGTTGCAATTATAATTATTGTTACCAGGACGTGGATATATTTAGTACCCCTCTGTACAGGTACAAGGGTGAAGTTTCTGTCATAGTGAATAGTGGCTCCTTCTGATTTCTATGGTATTTATAATTATTAACGTAACAGATTTGATATCTATTGTTATGTATATGTATACGTATGGATGTATGTATATATGAATAAAATATAAGTATGTGGCTATATATACATACATTTTTTATTTATTATTTATTTTACTTCATTTCTCCTTATATGTGTAAACGAAATATAATTCCATAAGACTACGCGCATGTGTCACGCGAGTCATAGTTTGCCTTAATTGTCACACATTTGTGGAACACGTTGTTGGTTCATATTTATCTAATCTTGCTTGTTCAATATTTGTTATTTGTTTAGTATGTAACTGTTTGTGCTTATCTGATGAATAAATAAATAAATGAATAAATGACAGAATGAATGCCTGTAAAAATATACATAATTTCATTAAGAAAGAAGATATCCATAATATTAACCCTAGAGCTAAGTTCAAACTCATGGCACCACGATTTCATTTAACGATTAGAACTATTTTAATTGAAAAGTCAAATTACGAAATTGAAGACTACGTGTTAGATAAAGATGCATAGAAAGCCGACATAGCTCTAGATTCCACACAAATTTGATTTAAAGTGTATACATATAGCATTTAAGTTTATTTGAAGAGAGCAATCCCTAGAGTTTCTTGCTCGTTCTTCTCAGAGACGTCAGCGTACTGAACGAGCAGTAGCTTAAAAATGACGTTTTCGAGTGTTAATTCATTGTATATGGAATAAATGAGCGTTGGAGACGTAACACAATTTTCTAAAGGTTGTGAACCGTCTTCGACATGTAGGTTTTGTCACTTGGTTTTCTTGGTTGATGTTAAGGAGAGGTACTGGTGCCGCCACGGAGACTTGAACCTTCGACCATTTATTGAGAAACAACCTTTTTTTAATCTTATTTTTAATAATGTCAATCTCTGTGGATTATTCTACTATGTCGTGCCGCCTCGTAAGAGAAATAACCTTATAACAGACTTCCAATTGAAATGAAATGTTTAAATAGTGATAAATTTAAAGCTTATTTAAAAAATTGGTTAATTGACAAAGTTTTTTACAATCTTAACGAATTTTATAAGATACTTGTCAATTGTGTCATAAACTTAATTATAATTTTAATTTGTTGACATTTATTTAAGTTGTAATAAATTTGAATTGAAATGTAATTTTAAGACATTGTTTAAGACGCTTGGCTTGGGTAAGAATTGTGGATCTAATTACTTGTAAGTAGCACCTGTATATTACCTTATTATTCATACTATAAATGTTTCTGAAAAAGAAAATATTGTGACTGCGCTACGGAAGCCGCCTCCGCGGTAGTCTTCGCCGGCTGGAGAAGGCCACGCGGACTATTCATGCAATGAGCCATCTAACTGACCATGTCATCAGCGCTCCGAACACGTCTTCCTTTCGCTTTAGGCTAAAAATATGGCTAATCCAGCGCTCTTTTTTAAATTTATGTTATATAATTTTATTTATTTTTATGAATAAATGCTTACGATTATCTGTCAAATATAATACTTTTACTATAAAAACAAGAACAAGAAAAACTT